GGAAATGGCTCAGGGGCAGGTGGGGCACAGCTCTGCAGGTTGGAAGCCGGTTTTGTGGAGGGATGCACAGGAGACAGAGAGAGAAAGGGGAGGAGGTGGAGGAAACTTTTGACAAAGAACATTTGTACCATAAAAAGTAAAGACCGGGATGAAATTTAAGCCTCTTGCGCTGGGGTAGAGGAAGGATGTGCTTTTACGGAAATTTTCAGCAGCTCTTTCACTGGGGAAACTTGTGCAGTTAAGAAAAAGTATGAACGTTTCCTGAAAATACATGAACTTTAATGCCAGCCAAACCCTGGCAGCCTCCTCTGTTTAACCACAATAGGGTGAGCTTGCGAAATCATAGAATCATAGACTATCAGGGTTGGAAGGGACCTCAGGAGAAATTTAGAGGCAGTATAGTCCAATCTCTGGATCTCTGGAAAAAAAACAGGCCCTCAGGGTACGTCTACACTGCAAAAAACAAACAAACAAACAAAAAAACCCTGCGGCATGAAGTCTGACAGTCTGACTCTGGCTGGCACGGTGGGGCTAAAAATAACAATGTAGACGTTCGAAATCAGGCTGGAGCCCAGGCTCTGAGACCCCACCCCTTTCAGCCTGAGCCAGAATGTCTACACTGCAGTTTGTAGTCCCACAAACCAAGCCCCATGAGCCTGAGTCAGCGGACCCAGACCAGCCATGGCCATGCTGCAGGTCTTTTACTGCAGCGTAGACAAACCCTCAGATGCTGGACAGCAGATAAAGATGATGTTGTAACAGCCCAGTTCAGCAAAACTCTCTGCATCTCGTGGGGAGTGAGAGGGAAAGTATACACACCAGTGCTGACTCTCCAGGCATAGAAGGGTACAGTTCACAACTGCCTTGCCTCTTGGGTTTAATGCTTCGTTGCAGCTGTGCTATCCTTGGCACAAAAACAGGGTGTAAGAGAACAAATATGGCTTTAAACTACCTTTCCCCTTTTCTCAGGTTGGCCAGGGGCCTGCTCAGTCCCCTTTGTAATTAGAGCCTTCAGACTGCTCTACTTTACATTTGACTACCTAGAGACATAAGGTCATGCCCCATTTTTCTTAACCAGGCCCTCAATGCTGTGAGGGGGTGTGGCAGAGAGGCATTATGCCAGCCGTATGCTACCTAGAGATTTGCCCTACCTAGGGAAATTCTCCAGTGGCCAGGTCTGCTGGACTGGTGTAAAAGGGTTGAAACACAAGAGAAAAGGTGGTCCCTTGTGCAGTCATTTACACCTGTGCAAAGTGATCTACCATTCTGATTTGGTGGTGTTGTACACCTACTTTTCACAGGTGCTACTGACGATATAAGATGCAAGGTGAAAGTGCTCAAGAATGAGGCCCACAATATGCAGGAGACATGGAAGAGATGATGGAATGTAGCACCCACAAGGAGATTCATGAATTGGGAAGTACTAAATGGGGAAAAAAGTAACACAGAGAAAAGGGGCAGAGGGAAAAGGCAGAAATTCTCAAGTGAAATGTAGAGGCAGTATAGTCTAGTGTGGTTAGAGCAGGGGACTGGGAGTTAGGATGCCCATGTTCTATTCCCAGCTCTGATATTTGCTGTGTGACCCTGGTCAGTTTATGTCCCAGTGACTTGGTTTACCTAGCTGTAAAATAGAGATAATTCTTATTTCATTCCCAGGAGAGTTGTGAGGAATAATTGATGCTTATGAAGTGCTTTGAGATCTTTGGAAGAATGGAAGCATAGTATTAACAACTAATACTTATACCCTCAAAGGGCTGGATCATACATTAACCAAATAATCCTCACAACATCCCTGTGGGGTTGCTATTATTATCCCCACTTTACAGCTGAGGAAACTGAAATACAGAAGGGAAGTGAATGTCCCAGCATCACACATCAAGACCCAGGGTGAGAAATCAGCATCTCCTGAGGTCCATCACTGTGCGCACACCTCCAGACCATGCTCTCTATAGAAATGCAAAAAGCTGCTATGACATGCTTTACCCCATTCATCCTTGCCTTGCAGCTCCTTCTGGTTGGCACAAAGGCGCTACAGAGCAGGTGTCAGGGACCACCTAGAAATGCCTCCAGCACAGCCAATTCCACCAGCACCATGCTGCCTTCACAACAGGCCTTGGGCTGGGGGCATTCTGGGGCAAGGATGGACTGGAAGAGGCAAACTGGGGGCAGGAGTGTGTGGTGGGGCATTTTTACACCCCAGGAATTCTGTGCCTCTACAAAGCCGTATAGGGACCATTGAAGCAGGGACACAAATTAGCACAGCCTGGCAAGCTGCTCTAACTTGCACTGTGGGCCACCCCAGCCCCTGCTGCCACTGAACAGGGGAGGAGTAAACTGCCTCTCCTCCGTCCTGGGGCTGGTGCCTGCACCAGTGCCAAGATGAATCCAGCTGTTTATGAGGACTGCTCTGGGAAAAGTGGTATTTCAACAGTAAAAGTGCTAGCTCTGAGTTTGCTTTAAACACCACAGAGCTGCTGGTCCATAAAATTAAACTGCCATCTGTATTCCAAGCGTGATGAGACAGGGTTCTGGAACATTACCTCTGAAGGCATTATTGAAATATGAGCATTTGTCATTACCGTTGCCTTGTGGTCCCTCCCCCTTGTATACAGGATGAAAGGTTTTGTAAAATGCTTAGAGGCCATTAGTGAAATCATTGTGGTTCTTCACCCAGCATTTCCCAAGCAGGAGGGGGGGAAATATGATGCGAAAGCAGAACATTCCATTGCTGCTTCAAAGACATTTCCTGCATTGTATTGACATTTCTATAGAGCTTTTCATAAGCAGCATCTCAGAGGATTTTACAGCTCCACAAGTTACATGCCTTTAGTGGGCCTCGTGGGCCAGTTTGTGCTCTCAGAGGCACACATCTGATTCCCACTACCTTCATTGGAAATTACACGGACATTTCCAAGGACAGAATTTAACCGCCTGGTTACAGGTAAAAGAAAATACAGGAAGTTCTTTCTCCTTGCTAGCTCACATGCATCTGTGACCAGGTGCATCACAACAGGATAAGCTGCAACTGTTATAGAATGGAGCAGTTTAACCACAATATTTAAGGTTAATCACTACCCTTATCTTGAGGTCTTCCACAGCTGTTGGTAAAGTCATCAGGGAGTGCATATCTCAAAAGAACATCAGCACAATTATTTGCTCAGGAATTCAGAAAGTATTCTCAACAAAGGCCCTGTGAAGACTGAAATACTGGATTACTAGTTTTCCTTCCCATAAATAAGTTTCAGATACTTTGCCTATGTGAGGCCTGGAAGGGTTTTTTGGTGTTTTATTTTTGATTATTCCTGTGGCCATGCACAGACCCAGATCCTTGGAACTTCTATGATGTTATTTAACTGAAGAAATCTAATTATTCAAACTATGATATTACAGTATTCATAGGATTAACATTTTTTCATTTTACTTCAGAAAACAAAGGCCAACTCATGCAGCAATGGCCAAATGTCCTAGCCAAATTCCAAATCAGGTTGTTACACCGTAGTCCATACCTACTTAAATTCTCTCTCTAGTTTCAATTGGCTAAATTATTTTTTACTTTCCCACATAACCCCTCCTTCCTCCCATGCATACAACACACATTTTTCCATTATAGACATGTGCTTTTAATCATGCTCACTGATCTACTTGGTACTCAGCAGAACTCTGGATCTTAGAGGTTAAAAAGCTAAAAGAATAATGGAGACCCTCTAGGCACAGTGTTTGTCCTTGTCTAAATCCCTGAATCAGAAAACGGAGTTAGTGAGCCAAGTATTTCTTCAATATAATAACTGTAAAGTATCTAAAATGGCCCAACCATTGTATTTAGGGCTCTTAATAGTCTATTGAATTCTAGTTTATGTCCTAGAGGCACTGACAGGGCTTCCGAGGAAGAATGGCAGTAGTTGTGTTTTGCAAATTCTTTTGTTAAGAAAATTGAGCCTGTCAAAGATCAGATGCCGCTTTAGATCAAAGTCTTGAGAGTCCAACCTGAGGGCATTGTTATGTCCTTCTGATTTTCCTTTCAGTACATTTAAGGCAGAGGTGATGGCAGTCTTGGAGACAGAAGGGCCATATCCTGCTCATACATATGACACCATGAATCCTGACTGACTCTGGTGAGTCACTGAAGTAACTGAGAGCAGAATCTGATCCTGTTGTCCGGAGACCATCCCCATGTGGTCCCAACCAGAAGAGACCTATCTCTAGGGGTAAAGAGCAGTTCTCTCCTCAAACCTACTCTCTCCCAGGCCCATTGACAAGGAGACCCATTACACCTCCCTCCCTTAGGCCTTGTTCAGCTTTGTCACCCCTGCTCCCCTGGGGCAGCCAAAACTGTGGGTTCAGCCCTTCCATCCCCATCAGAAGGTGCAGCTCCCAGCACTTCCCAGCTGGGAAGGAGCCAATGCAACCTCTCACAGGAAGTAGCTCGGATCCTAGTGGGAAACACCCCTTCTCCCCAGCTCTTCCACTCCCTCAAGCATAGGGTGCAGCAGACTGCTGCTAGCGCCCCACCTTTCCCTGACTAGCCCCACCCCACCAGGCACCTCCCCTCAGCGTAATAGCCATCCCCTTTCTAGGTCACCTCGCCCCCGGGTGGGTGTGACTCCCTGCAGAACCGCCCTCTCCCCGCGTTAACCACGCCCCCAAGTGGGCGTGACTCTCCAGAGCCCCCTCATGGCGCTGGGCGGGGGTGTGGCCTAGTGCGCCTGCGCAGCAGGCGGGGAAGTAGGAGCTGGCTGCTGTCGGGCTCGGTGCGCTGAGCGCGGGCTTTGCCTGAGGAACGGGTCGGGTCGGCGTCTACAGGAGCCGCGGCCCGGGGAAGGCGCTGCGGGGACGGGCCCGGAGCCGGCCATGGCGCGGTAGCCGTCAGCGGGAGCGGTCGGGCAGGCGGGGCAGCCCCCGCGGCACCGAGCGGATCCCTGCCCGCGGGGGAGGCTGCGAGTCTGAGGGGGAGCCTGAAGCCGGGGG